TTTACTTTTTGTATTATCTAAATGTGATTTCATGTTTAAGATAATTTTTACTTTTTCAATCAGCAAAATTACGCCCTCTTTCTATTAAGATTTTCCCCAATTTAACTGTTATAATAAGTAAATTTCTCAAAACATATCAAAACTATTTACTTTTAAATTTAATTAAAAAATTTATTTAATTGTTGCACTTGTATATGTTGTTAACTATCAAAATTAAAATGACATTCCTAAATGGTAGATAGTTATAAAAGTTACATCTTTTTTTCGATTTCTTATTCCTTTATACTTTCCTAATTTGCTCAAAAAACATCAAATATATTCATTTCAAACTTGAAAATAGTCTTTTTTGCATATTAATTATGCTCCCTTTACTTCTTGGCTTTTATCACACTATCTTGAACTGAGAAAAATAGAGCTCTGTACTCCTTGGAAAACCCCTGTTTTCAATAAAATAATTATTTTAGCAAAAGTTCATGGGATATCAATAGAAACATTTGTGCCAGTGAAACCAGCTACCGTGTAAAGTCAAAAGGAGCACAGGTACAGCTTGGTTTCAACTGGGAATAAGTGACTTTATTAACGAAACTCGAATCGCATTTTTTAAAATCGCAAAGGGAGTGAAACTTGTAAGCTTTTGATAAAATAATTTCTAAGCAGACATGTAAACAGTCTCCAGGTAGGAACAGATGAATAATCGAGTGATAAAAAAGACATCAAGAAAATAAAAAAGGCACCACTTAGTGTAATAAATAATGGAAAGAGATAAAAAGCATAAGTCAGAGAAAAACAAGTACAACAACAGTTACTCTCCTTATACTACTACGAACGTGCCTGTTCTTCCTACTTTTAGTACTCCAAGCCAGGGTCTTTTTTGACCCTCAACCTTCGATTTTCAGAAAAGACAAAGGTTATTTTTCAAAGACCAAGATAGAAAGTTCTAGATCTGTCACTTTTGCTCAAGCTGTCCATACACAGCTTATTCCATAGAACATCCGATGATGAGTCAGAATAAAAAAACAGTCGTCGACGAATAGATCATCAATCAGAATGTTAACTTAAATCCCAGCCGCAAGGAGTGAAAGATCTCAAACTTTAGTATTTTATTTTCAATCAAATAATGTACACAGAGGCATTTTTGAATTGAAGGCAACAAATCTAAAGATAAAAAATATCGGTAAGGCCAAACCTAAGCAAAGTACAAATTTTCGGAAAAAATGGGCTTATATTTAAAGACGTCATTAATCGAAGTGCAGAGTACCTATCGGCTGGCAATCTGTTTCTTTAAGTTTATTTCAGAACATAAGAGAAGGTATAAATGTCTTTTATTTATCTAATAATCATAGGCAGCTTTACTTTAAAAGGAAAAGGGGAACTTTTTTGGCTTATTTTGATTACCATTTTTTCATTTCTCCAGGTTTTGCGTTTTATTGCCTTTAAGGTATGATACACCTAATGGGCGCTATAAGGAACAGTTACTGTAACATTGATAACATAGGTCGGTTATATGATGAGAGGAAACTTTATACAGAATAAACACAATTTAAAGTACAGTTTACAAGTTAAATAATTTATCTGATCTAAAGCTTCGCTATAAGAAGTGTTCATTTTCAGAAATGAGGTACCTCTAGATAATCTAAAGTAGCATTGTAAGTTAAAATGTTGTTTTTTATTGAGCATTGTAAAGAAACAAATAATTATTATTATAGCATTCAGTTATCATATTCCGCACATACTTTTACAAAACTACTAAGGAATAATCTAAGCGCTTTGCAGTTGAACTGATCAGGTGATAGCATCCACAATCTTGTGGACATTATAAAATTATTATAGGTATTTTTGGATGACCGTCATTCTATGGCCGAAGGGAGAACAGACATATATCATTAAATACACTGAAATTGCGACCTTAAGAGTCATCCTTATATGCAAAAATAGGTATTGTATTTAAAACCAGCCAACAAGTTTAACTTATATAAAAAAAAGAATGCTGCTGAAATTCTGTGAAAGTAGAACCAAAAAATAATAATTCGTTTCATGCCGTGTACAAGGGTGATAAGCCTCACAATAGTTTTAAATAAGGACCATAAAAGCATCATCAGTTGAAGTGGCATGACATAGGGATTGGAATTTTTTTCTTGAAGCAAGCAGATGTTTATTTTAGTCATTACTGACCGTTAAATAGAGGCACAGTATTGTAATTGTATTGTAACTTTTATTCATGCATTACCATTGTCATAATATCTTATATTCTTTATTTGTTTTTGTCAAAATTTTATTTGCCTTCGCATTTTTTTTCTTTTTAATTGAAATTTATAAATTTTATTATTCAAAGTTTATTAAAAAATTTTATCTGACAATTTAATTTTTTGGGTAGGAACATAGGAGAGCCCAAGACCCGCCCTCCTTCCCTTGGAAAAGAAACCCCTAAAAAGAAAACCCCAAATGAATTTAAAAAAGCCGTTTTTTTCCGCTCATTAAAAAAAATTTTAAAAGCTAAACCATTTGTATTCCCCTTTTTATAAAACAAAAAAAAAATTAAAATTTTTTTTGAAACGGGATCGTTGGTGTTTTACAATGAATAGGTTTTTGACTTTAACAATTTTGTTTTAAAACTGCTTTAAAACCAAAAATGGTTAAAAAAGTTAGGGTTTGGTTTGTTTAAATTGTTTGACTTGTTTTCCTCTAAAAAAGCTTCCAATTCCCATTTTGATTGGGCATGACCCTCCCTTATTAAAAATATTAGAAACTCTATGACAAGGTAATTTCTCTCCGTTGGTACTTACTCGCAACTTGTCTGTCATATTTTATGTACAATACATATGAAAGGCTATATGCAACCATTGAGTGTATACAGGGAATCTCGCTAAAGTCTTTTTAAAATCATGATATTAGTTTCAATAAATCACTGGCAAAGACTTGATAACATTGATAACAAATTGCAATGAGTCTGAAAGTGTAACAACGAAATAATGTCAAGATATTGATGAGTTATGTTACTATACAAGGTAGATAGATATATAAATGAATATGCAATTATTGACTGATTTTTTCAGGATTTATAATAATGAAAAGAGCGACGTCCCTCACGCCCCCTAGCACCGACTTAGGCTGTACTCAATTTGCAACTCTTAAAAGTGCTGGAATCAATAATTACAGAGGACCAGAAAAACATAACAAGTTACAACACTGAAGTGAAGTACGTGACAACTTATTAACTATGTTTTTACTGTTGTCATTTTCTAATGGTACAGTTTATTTATGTATTTGTTATAAAAAGGGGTATTTGGAGATCTATATATCATAATATCTATGTCTCAATAATATCCAACCATCACAGGGACGTTGAGACTTTGAGATTTTGGATAAAACCACTTGGAATCCTGAACTTTTCTGAACATTTTGGTTGGATGAAGTTAAGATTTTGGATGAACCTGCTAAGAATCCTAAACTTTTCTTTGCCAACATATCCCAGTGAGATACTTTTATAATATCTCTCATGAACAGACTTCAATTTTTATATATAATTTTGTTCTCATTGCTTCTCCTTTTCAAAATTTTAATATATTGGATTCAAATTGTCTTATTTCTTGCCACCAATCTTTAAGCATTATACACCATATCACTATCATGGTTTAATATATTTGATTTTAAAGGTTTCAAGTGAAAAGAAAAATTCAGAGTAATTTCTGTGACATAATGTGGTTTGGATCTATGTGCAATTTGTACAATTGTTGAAAATTGAGATTTTCTGTTAAATAAAGTGTTTTACATGCACGACATAGGGAATGAAATGAGTCATGACCCCATTCTATATGTATGAATGCATGGGAGTTGTAGATGCACCACATCAGATGTAACATACTAGCAATAATGGTTTTGACCAATGTTATTGAAACAGATTACATGCCTTTGTCTGCCATGTTTTTATTATTTATCATTTATAGAAATTAAAACGAAAAGATAAACCAATGTTAGCAACTGTTTCATTCCAAAGCTATAAACAGTGAAATTGCAGTTACATTTTTTTATAATACAGTTGTCCTGATATAATGCAATAAGAATGTTCTTTTAATCAAGTTTTATCTTTATTTTCATAATAAATAATTGAGTAAACAATTGAAAAATAATATATAAGAGCTGTCATCGATAGAAATGAAATTGATGTATCGTTGATATTTTTCTGTTGATCTGAGTACACATTTTAGAAAAAATGATAATTTTGATTTAATAATTGAATGTCTAGAAATTATATAAATAACCAAAACATATGCAGAAGCATATTTCATAGAAGTGATGACAAAAAAATTGTTAGCAAAAAACATGCAATGGGCATTTCTTTGAAACAGGACACATTTATGAAAAGACCATGTTTTTACTGAAAGAATTTTAAATAATTATGGAAAAGAATTAGAGACAAGTAGTTGATACTTAAAGTATGTAATTATCAAATTGAATATATCTGTGTATCATCAATATTTTTTCATCTTAAATTTGATTTCCACCGAATCAATGACAGCTCAAATATAACTTGAATCATTTAAAAATATCAACAAAATTTGAAAACTGGAAAATTCCTAGCTATATTGTTTGTTGTAAAATTAAAAATTTTCTTTAAATGTTAGTTTCCTAAAGTAGATTTATGTATAAAATTTGTATTTTAGAAATAATTTTGCTATTTAATAATGCAATAGTGATATATTTTAATGCAGTTACAATACTTTTTGCATCAAATAATTTTCAACTTATCAGTAAAAACATTGGCGCAAAAACTCATGAAAGTGTACTTACTGTAGTTTTTGCACTGAAGCTGCACTTACGTTTTTTGTTTTTTATGCCAAAAAAGTATTTTTTATCAAAATTCAGATTCTAAGCTTCAGAGACTGGTGACAACAGGTGATTTTCTCAAAAAATGTCAGTTACATGACCTTTTGCTCCAAGGTGACGATAATCGGTCTTATTTATTTCCATTAAAACATGAATTAAATAAAGATAAACTGTACCTTGGAAAACATGTCATCAATATATCTTGTAAATCTTCTCAGGTAACTTTAGTCTTGAAATGGACTCAAAATCTAAAAGGAAATGTAAAAACAGTGTCAAAATATAAGCTTTGAAGAACAAGTGTTCAATGACTTGAATATCAGAAAAACCTGTCATTATCTTATTCAGGGAACTCGCTCATTAAAGCTTGAAATGGTTATTTAATATGCATATAGCTCAAAATGTATGTAAAAAATTGCTGTAAAAAATAACAAGCAAATTTGTTTTTCCGTATAGTCTAGCGAAGACACTTTGGCCAAATGCTAACTTGATTGTAAGTGTAAAAGTATATGCACACATTAGATATATTAAAGTGTAAAAAAGCTATATATCTGCTGCAAAAAGATTGTAGAAACTATGAAATAAAAAAATGTTAATAAATCTTACAAAAATATTTCACTAGATATAGCTTTAAATACGCGGAAGGTTCGTAGCGCTCTTACATTACATGTATGACGAGTATAAGTTAAATTAAAATCACATCAAAATCAATATAAATGTATGTCTAAGTCTAGCAAGTTTGAGAAAAATCCTCAGTTAGCCGCCATTTTGGAAATTTTATGACAAGCTGACTGGTTCTGTATTTCAACTATTTAGATTATAGGAAGCTTTTGAAAATACATTAACAAAAGCGTCTACACAATGCAGACTGTTTTCTTGAAGACATCACAGTCTTCAATCCTAAATTACTCTTCCTGTAGAAGTGTAATGTAACAAAATCAGTTATTAAATATTATTATCATTGATAAGAACTAAAGTAACGATAATAATCATAAAAAGTTACTTTTATATATATATCCATTTGATACACCATCACGTTTAAATAAAATAGAAACAACAGCTCCGATTAGAGATTAACAAACATGGCGGACATTTTTCACTGATAGGTTGAACACCACATTTCGTTTATATAGATTGAACGGTACTAAATGTTTTAAATCATAACAGCTTACCGCGTTATACGTTGCACCTATTTTCATTTTATCTTTTAATGTATGGACACTTTGCACACATAAAAATATCCAATAATTCAATGTTGTGGATCACTGGAAAATATAATTTGTTGATTTTAATCTCGCTCGTATTCCAGACAAATTTATTTCGATTCTTCCTGCGCGACTAGCGGAATATTTACATGAAATGCAAAAATATGACTTATATTTTATAAATAAAAAAATAAACTGACATCGATAAGTTCCTTGCCATTGGTCCTAACTCGGGGAATCATGACTCACAAGGAATATAATGTCTCCTTTATTACATCTGTTTCCCACATCTTACACGTTATTGTTATATATTTCGTTCACCTCCATTATTATTCCTGATATATCAAACACTGAAGACAACCGGGTATATTTATATACATCCCCGAGCAATAACTGTAAAAAATAAGATGAACAAAGAACAGCTAATGCTCGGAGTGGTAAACAAATACCCCATTTTACATTCAATCGGCACGTTCGACTTTCCTTTGACATCATGCTTCGCCGTCTTTTAATGTAAAAACAACCCTGAAAATGCTTATTTCCGCTTCATACCAATTCCATATGAAAATGGATTGTATCCTGTACCACTTTATCTGAATTAAATCCATCTTATTAAGTCTATATCCGTTCAAAACCAACAACACAAAATAATATCCGCCACTCCAGTACATAAAAGTTTAGTAGAGGTTATACATGTTTGTTGAATATTACTCCGCGAGATATGGCTATTCAAAAGTATGTCGTGTAATCGCCGTTTTCTTTTAAAAAAAAAGGTTATACTTGTTCAATAATGATAACCTTCTTTCAATGATTTCGATAACTGAAACGTTATAACCGCCTTAATTGTGTTAACAATTTTACATTTTGTTGCCGCGTGTTTAAATGTAGTACGGAAGTAATTTGGTCGAAAAGTGGGACATACATTCACAAGAGCAATATCAATATATTAAGTGTTTTGTTTTCTTTCTTTTCCAATTCAAGGTATATCAGAAAGATACACAACACCAGTCTTTTTTTATACATTGTTTCTTTTATCTTTACCATAATGTTAATGTGTTTTTTTTTCTACTGAGCTTTGGACATAGTCGCTAATGTTACAGTTCAGGTTGATGTTATACACATTTTATGGTTCATTATCTAAGACTTTATCGATGTCAGATTAAACAGTAATCAAATTGCACTAGTATTTAGTTAACCGTCATGCTTATTTTGTATTATCATTCATTTTTCTTATTAATTTAACTTATTTGCAAAGAGAATCATCACGAAATATCCCGCTTATTTAACCGGTTTTAAACATGTAAAAGTAGAAAAGGCATATCTAACACGTTCAATAACAAACTGTTCAACTGCAATTTAAGTAGAATTTGTAATGACTGTACAATCATCTGAATTTCCGATGATCAGTTACCACCAGAAAACCCTATTTAAGCATATATTTACATGTTAAGGCTTCTATCAAATTGACATCAAAGAGACAAATATACATCCACGTGACTAGAGAGAATAAGGGAGCATATCATATAACACAACAACGACTACCTTATCATAAGGTTATAACCCTCATTCTTTCAACCGGTGTACTATCGTAAGATTGTATTAAGATACAAATACTTATTCTACCGGATAGGTAATCCAATATAGAGGAACTTTTAAAACAACGTGCAAAGTAAAACTTTAAAATGTTAAAAGTTACTGTAGCAATGTTTATTGAGTGCTTTACCTTTTTATATGAGATGAATAATTTTATTTTTGTATTTCTCATGAAATCTCTTGCTTAAAACAAAATGTTTACTTTTAAATGTGTTTTTTTGTTTTATAATTTAAACACCTTTTGATATTCCAAATACGAAAAAAAGAAAGCAGCAGCTGCTGTATAAAATACTTTAAAAACAAATACTTTAAATTGACAATACATTGTACAATGAATGAATGCACCGAATTAAAAGAATCGTTGGTAAAGAGCTGGAAACTAATAAGTGAAACCTGCTTCTGCCGCAGATTCAAAAGCAGCACAGTTACAAATTGTTTTCAATTTGGGAAATAAATTGCGTTTCGACAATCTTAAAAATTGCATAGCAAGTGAAACTTACTAACTTTTGATAAAAAAGCTTAGTCTTAAAAATAATCATATCCGACTAGCAGACAAGTTACCTGTATTTATATATAAACACATATACAAAGGCGGAATCGTGGCACTTAATATCATGAAAGAAACGAAACGCGTTAGAAAAACAAAAAGCAGTACACCACCCATTTCTCTCCTTATACTGCTACGTACGTACTGTTTTCTCCGAGATCAGGATAGAGAGCCTTTACCACACGTATATCACGATCGTTTAAAACGACAAAGGTTGTTTTTCAAGTTCTTTTTCAGATTCTATAAATCGTGCAGACTGATATTAGATTAAAGATACATATAAATCAATAAACTTGTACTGAAAAAGTGTGTTTCTGGGACTTAAAACTCGCATTAGACGGGGATTTATTTCAAATTTTAAAATCTGGTTAACTTCATATAGAAGTACCTATTTTTCCGTTTTATCGCTTGGATAATGTTCAACAGGTTTCATTTGAGTTGATTAGTTAAATACCTTGAATAAAAATAAGACTTTTCCTATAGCAAACTTACGTTTTGTACAAGTTTCTTTATATCATATGATGTTAAGGACAATAGAGGGTAGATAACGTTTAGCAGGAAATTACAAAGTTGAAGAATATGCCCAACAGAGTTAATTCCCGCTTTTTGACAAAGATTGCTAGTATGCTGGATGTCCTTGAATTTTATATAGGACAATCTAACACTCTCAATTATTGGGTTTTTCTATGAAAAAAAATCAATAAAAGACAAAGCTAGGATTCAGTTTTTAGTATTTTCATCATGATCAGGTACTCAAACTATTAGAGTTCTGATTAAACAATTTCACTTATTAAATAATAGTATTTTTTCCCAATCAAACAAGATTCTCTCTGACCTAGTAGATATGCATTCCCAATGGAGAAATTTAGACTTGCTTTTGTTTATTATTTTTTTATTTTCTTATTATAGAATTAGTTTTTGTAACAAAATTACACTGTTTTCATATTCTCTGACAAAATAGCTTTTCTGATGTACAACATGACATATGGGCCGCGTCACGACAAAACCAACATAGTGCGTTTGCGACCAGGATGGATCCAGACCAGCCTGCGCATCCGCGCAGTCTGATCAGGATCCATGCTGTTCGCTTACAAACCCTATCACAAGTAGAGAAACTGATAGCGAACAGCATGGATCCTCATCAGACTGCGCGGATGCGCAGGCTGGTCTCGACCCATGCTGGTCGCAAACCCACTATGTTGGTTTTGTCGTGACGCGGCTCATATATATTTTGGATAGGAAGAGAGGTCTCAGGAGCCTTATAGCTGTGTTTTAAGATATTTAAGCAATTTAATAAAGTTCGGTTTTATCTATGTTAATATTTTTTCCAAGAGTAATCTTTGAAGAAGTATAATCACTCTGCTGTTTCACTCACTATTTGAACATTTATACTAACCATTAAATTCATAAATGAATGTTTTCTAATTAATTTCAGTCACAATATCATTAAAAAGATTAGAAAATTATATGGACAGATCACGTCTTTCTGTGAAGTGAGAAGTATCATTAACTTCATACATCATGATTATAGATATTGTAAGTCATTGATCAATGAGATTAGTGTTGTTTGTTTATGACTTGAATGGAAGAATATAAGCGTTGTTATATCTGCTGGACTTTAGAGGTGTTGAAGGTAAGATACCTCGATCAAGTACTTACAGTACTAACCGATGTTCTATACCGGAGATATTAAAACAGGGCCTTCTCTGAAACAGTGCAATTATTGTATTCATACATTCATCAAAATGCTCAAACACTAGTGACAATATAAACAAAACGTATCTTTAAAAAGATACTCGGCCGAAGTCAAACTTGTTAATTTGCATAGGATAAGCTACTACTAACCATGCCTACTGAAAACAGAGCATTTTATTCGTCCTCAATAGTTTTGTTTCAGTTCATTTTTACCCGCAATGTTTTTCCCCTTAGATTTAATTAAACAATATTACTTACATTATTTGATTTTAATCAAAATAGAATTTGATTTGAATAGGAATTTATAATAAAACAAAGATTTCGTAGATACTGTACACTAAATTCACGGAGAATTTGCAACAGTAAATTAGTCGAAAGTTCGTTTCAATCGTCTTATGCCCGGTTCGAGAAGAGAATATAATGACTAGAACAGCTTAGAAGAGAATCCCAATCGAACGCAAAAGTATCGAAAAGGCGATCTGTCATATTTAATTTCATATATTTATTAAAAAGCTATTAGAAACATCTAAAAAATATCATTATTGTGTTTTTATATTTATTCTGATTTATATCTTTTTCCAACACTTTTTGCCATCGCGCAATCAAACAGACCTCTACCTATAACGGAAGCTCTTCTGAATTATCAATTGAACAGGCTATTAGTGTTAAAATGACCAATGAAAATTCTGCCTATATTTATTTATTTACTGTTAATTTTAGCGGAAGTCAGTGTGAAATCAAAAAACACATCGTACAATCCTTTTTTAAATCATTATTTTTGTTCCGCTATGTGTTCTAATTTATATCGATTCAAAAACTTTGCCATCAGGAAAAAAGTAGAAGACTGTACTTTTAAATGTTTAGTGCTAAACATTCGCATATTGTTCAGATAATTTCATTAACCATAAAATCAAATAATAATTTCATTACTTAATTTCAGAATTACAAAAGAAACTTAAATACTATTTCATACGGGAAAAAGCACACGTAATTTAGGTTAATGTCTAGCTTTGCTTATTTTAGGCAATATTAAGAACCTTCATAAAAACATATTAAATTTTCATTAGCTATGTAGAAATGTTCTACAAAATAACAACACATTGGGTACAACGCAAAAGTATTCTAATAGAATTATAAGGTCAATGTCCTCAATAATCTAAGCATTAGTTTAACGACAGGAAAATGAATAATCATTACTATGGCGATTTTCCGGAAATGAATCAACAAAAGATATAGGAGTATATATCGTTTCCATCGGCAACAATCCATTCTATTAATATACCTTAATGAAGAGCAACACATTTTATCAAGTTTACAACATATAACTCATAATCTAGTAAGTCAATACATTTGCAAAAGCCCATAAAAAGAAATACATAATAACAAAATGTCAGGAATCATGAATAGTACATAACATGTCTAGTTTTATTGACTGTCCTTAAATGTTTGATAAGGTGTGTAATAAATACTATTATAGATCTCTGTGTGCTATAACCTATGTGATATGAGCCGTGCCATGACAAAACCAACATAGTGTGTTTGCGACCAGCATGGATCAAGACCAGCCTGCGCATCCGCGCAGTCTGATCAGGATCCATGCTGTTCGCTTACAAACCCTATCACAAGTAGAGAAACTGATAGCGAACAGCATGGATCCTGATCAGACTGCGCGGATGCGAAGGCTGATCTGGATCAATGCTGGTCGCAAACACATTATGTTGGTTTTTTCATGGCGCGGCTCATATAAACATTAAGATAATTATTTTGTTATACATATAAATGATCAAAAATAATTATTCTCATGTAACCTATTATTAGTTTGTTTGACTATCTTGTACATAATATTCTGT